CCTAAAAAAGAACGCCAAGTATCTCACCCTATTCTCATAAATAGTCTATCTCCTGGCAACGTCCTTCGAAAACACGGGCATTTTCTTTCCAACCAAACAACCCAGAAATTTGCAAAGACACACCACTCTAAAGCACTTTAGCCTCTTCGACCTCTTCCACAAAACTTTGAAAATAAATAAGCATTTGAGCACTATCCTTTTGGGCACCCCACAATCACACTACCCAATCCAAACACCCTAGATGCATCAACCAACCTAGCACCGAGCAATGCAAAAAGAGATGATCCATAGAGATTCTCCACTTTTACACACATGATGCACCATTGAAGGATTAAAGATACCAGTGAGGTCCTCTTTTTGCAATGAATCATTTGGCAAGTGCCCCATGAACCAAGATCCACATGAACATTTTTCACCTTAAGAAGGAGCACACTCCTTCCAAATCTTGGTACTGAAATAGAATTGAGTACATGGAAGTATCAATGATCTTTATCAAAGAAAGGATTTACAGTAAAAGATCCGACGAATGAATATTTCCAACCAACCTAATCCTTTCAAAATGGAGACAACAGAAACATTTTCGAGCCTTGACAAAAGAGAAATCATTCCGAAAACTTCCCTCTCATAAGATTTCCGTCGGAATTAAAATTCCAAGATAAAGGAAAACTAAAGAACCCGCCACAAAGACAAAACAGGAACAATTATGGACCTGAGAAAACGCCATAGCAGAAGTGGGATAGAACTCAAACCAAGGGACGTCGAGCCACGCCAACATCCTCCCAAAATTTTGACCATTTTCCCCATTAACCACCCTCACAGAATGAATCGGGGACCAAACTGGATAGAATCCGAGAGAATGGTCTTCAAGGAGCATGCCCGCTACCCACCTTTGAGACCACCTGAGAGTCCCTACCATTAACCTAAATCCCATATTTACTTTTTAATAACCGCATTGCCCTAATGAACCACAACACTCATCTGGGAAATCGCCCATAACACTTGCCTCAAAAGACCTGTTCTTTACTGCCACTATATACTTACGCAATGGCCCAAACCCACCTTCTCCTTAGAATAAGGACAATCACCGTTTCCTAAGTTCAGACCAAATGAATCCTTCCTTCCCTCTCTTTTCTACCTTCCCAGAAAAATCCCTCCTTAACTTTCAATAATTTTTGCTAACCCTGCCTGAATTCTAAACACAGACATCGAAATAAATTGGAATTCCACTCAAGCACTGTCTTAACCAGAGTGTACCTACTACCCACGG